ACGGCTCAATCAGGGTCAAATAATTTTAAATGCTAATAATCTGTATGTAGACTTTCAAGGTTTCTTTCTTCGATGTCCTGAGTTTATTTGAATACCAAAATAAACAAACAAATGGCTGTGCAGTCAATTTTAACAAAGACTTCCTTGGGCGCTTAATCAGTTGGTCGCCAGAGTTACTTCCGGATTGTGTGAGATGTCACGCAAGGAATGACATAGCGGAGACAGACGTACAACATATACACTTGCACATTGAAACAACTAGAGGTGTACTGCATGACCGGTTCCTAGCTAGCAGACCCTGGGGGCTGGGGGTGGGGGCTTTTACTCTACAAAGTTTCGTATGGGTTGTCTACACGCCGAGGTCCAACCCTTTACCCTTTTATACCATTTTGACAGAAAAGGTTCCCCTTTAATACACCATTCATTGAAAAAAAGTACCTATGTCTACTTATCTTCAGTGTAACCCCTGAAGAAGGTCGATCCTGTCTAACCGAAATAATGGGCATTAAATTTCCCCTTTTCAGCCGTCCGGTCAGCCTTTCAAATGGTTTTATGCTTTATTTTACACTGCTGATCCTGATCTAAACCAAGATCCGGCTTCACTCCTCTGCTGTTTGTACGAGTGGTCCTTACATTACAGTTTACCCGATTGAAGTACTAAGACCATTGATCTGCATAGCTTGATCCAAACAGAAGCATATATACATCTGTAAGGTGCATTTGTTCCAATCCCTTTTAAATACCTGAATGACCCTTTCGTATACCACAACTTGTACGACCCCTACTCTTATATATACCTGAAGCCTGAAAATTAAAAGGTACTCCTTACGGTCGGAGCTTCCCCGTATTAGCCATTTTAGGGAGTAACCCCATCCCGGGCTATAAGGATATTAATATTTCAGTATCTAAACTTCTGAGTTTTTGTGAATCGATTATTACTTTACAATAACTGTCTAATTTCTCGCGCGCTGATTGGCTCATTTTTATCATCAATAAGAATTACAGACCGGTAAAATTTTAATTTATGCAAGCTTTCAAGTTCACTTTCAGCTGTCAAACTGTCAACTTTTTAACCAATGAGATTTTATGGACTTTTATCAAAAAGCGAGAAGAGCTATTGACAATTATCGCGTCATTTTGAATAAAATTCACTTATCTTTGCGTACGGCAAGTTTACGGCGTCTTTTCCCTCATTTATTCCCGTCATTTGACCATTTTGGGGTCTTGTTATTGTCAGAAAACATTGTTATTAAAAACGCCATCCGAACGCGGGTAGGAAAATTTGATTGAAATGGATCGTAAGATGCCCGTTATCGGTCAGGATATGGGGATAAAGAGAAGTTAACGAAACCATAGTTATCACGGCTAATTCGTCTTGCGTAATTAAACGTTTACACGCCAGCACCAGCATATATATCAATGCGCACTCTGAAGATCTGAATTCACCTTGGTGAGCAGCCTGAATGACAATCGTTCGGTTTTCCAGCACAACTACGAGCCATGGGAATCCGAGAAAAGGGATAAAACAGTGGTTATATTCCTGAAGATGATAACTGTACCAATAGTGAATGCATTAGTTTTGTTTGTCAATTAGTGTGCGAGTTTGTTGCTATCAGATTTACTACAAGTATCTTTGATTATTCTTACATTGAGGAGTTGCTTGAGTCCAGTCCAGATCCCGACTGTTTTACAATTGACTAAGTCCCAGTCTTTTTTTTGTGTGGTCTCGGTTTATTTCCAAGGCAACAACAGTTTCGTCTCCATCGTCAAGCAAGAGGACTACATAGTCGTTTGTTGTAGATATTTAGAACTAAAATTCAGTGTTCAAATCGGCAAGATGATTCCACCGAATGCTTCCCTGGTAAAATATGATAACCCAGTTCTCGTGAGCAGGAACACAGACAAAAAATCACCAAGGGTAAGTTAGAAAACCTTGATTTTGCAACTTGCACAAATTCGGTTGTCTTTGTACAGTGTAAGTTGTATTAACGACTTTCTTTGTTTTTAATATCACATCAAGTGCCTGTGCATCCATTACCTGGTCTATGCAGACGTTTGAGCACGTTGACCATTTAATTCGACATGGGTCATGACAGCAAAATGGGATACTATAAGGCTTACAGTTTGTAGGGCTCTTGGCGTCTGCGTAATCAAAGCGAGGCGGATCGGACAAGGCTTTTTAAACTCAATTTGCCATGTTATGCCCTTGAAAGGATTGATTCTGTAAACTTTTTTACCGATGAAAGCTTTTTCAAAACTGATAAGGAGCTGCGCTTGAGACTGATTTGTATTAACAAGTTTAATATTTTGCTTCGACGATACTTGCAGGCTCGGTCCCTCAAAGTTAGTCAACAGCAAGGTGCCGGAGGAACTGTAGCGGCAGGACCTGTACCTCAACCACCGCGAACGAACAAACTACCTCCAATGGATGCACAGAAAAATCAACAAACTGATGAGATACTCAATGCCATTCTGCCACCCAGGTATATGGTCGTATTATCTGCTTGTTTATGTACGCTCTGTTTACATGCTGTAGGTCTTATCTGGTTGATAGCTTTATCAACCTTTCAAACAACCCCGGCCTGGACTATATGTAGTGTAATCTAACTTGCACTCTTATTGGTTGATTTATGGTCACATGGCAATGGCTAAACCTAAATGTCACCGGTTGGGTGACATTAATGCAATTATTATTGTCACCCACTCTTCCACTAACCAGTGGTTACTTTGACTTTGGAGTAATTCTTCTTGCTTTATTACTTTACACTCAACTGCATCTATATTTAGCTCTTATTAACTGAGCAGGAGATCTGTATGGGAGAATCTTGACCAAGGTCGTGAGTACAGACCGAACACAGTGAGGTCTGTACACACGACTGAGGTCAAGATTTTCCCATACAGAGCGACTTAGCTTGGTTAATAAGATGTTTATTATATGGCAAAGAAGAAAACTTTAATTTGTTTAATGTAACTGGTTTGCTAACATTTTGCTTGCAAACGGAGATGAGCTTAACTTAAACCTGCCAAGATTTGCTCGTCCTCTTTACTTTTTTTTGTCATCAGGCTTTTTGGCACTTCCATAAATGATTGAGAAGAAAATAAAAGAAAATGGTGAACAATTTTTNTGACTTTTACACCCGTCTGATCAACCTGCATTTCAAAACCTGACCCAGGGCTCCTAAGGATTGTTGCCAAAATTGAGGAACCCTCCTCCCTCATCAGCTCATTAAATTTCTTAGATGCCACTGGCTTGAAGGTTGACCGTTAATATTGGCCTTCAAGCTACTGTACAGCCAATGCAGTCAGAATGCATGTTTAAAAACCCAAATTCATTAAAAAATAAGTGCAAATTTATTATATAAATAATTTATAAAATAATATTTTTATGTAAATTATATTTACAATCTCCTTTGGTGGCCTGTGAGTTGAATATACCTGTAAAGTCACCTAATAAAAACTGAATATGGCTTTAAAATAATTTCATCATGCCTGCATGTTTTAATCCATGTAAAATTTATGTTGTCTTTCAGAGAATGGACAGAAAATGGTCAGTTGTGGGTACAACAAGTGTCTAGTACCCCAGCTACAAGACTAGATGTTGTCAATCTGCAGGTATGTAAGGCAGTTATATCCAGGGCAAACAGCAGTCAACTTCAATGTAGGGAAGCAATCCAAGATTGACAATTATTATCATTTTCAATGCATGGGAGCAGGCATACTGCTGACTGCAGAATTAGATCAGCAGAATAATGATGATGATGATGATGATGATGATGATGATGATGATGATAAATATATATTTTTAAAGAGCCTATCCAGATCTGTTCTTAGCACTTTACAAAAGTAAAAGAACTAAAAAGAAAGTTCTATGAGATAAAAATACAGAGAACAATGAAAATAAATTTTAAATTATTTCTAGCTATTAAAATAATAATTTTTGAAAAGATACGTCTTGAGTTAGAAAAGACTTGATTTATCACATGAACGTATATCATTGAGTAGCTTTGTTCCAAGGTTCTGGAGCTGAGACAGAAAATGCTATGGATCCATAGGTCTTTAGGTTAAGATGAAGTGTGGATGATGAGCGGAGTATTTCAGTTCTCAAGTTATGCATGCACTAGATAGATTATAATGTTATTCAACTAGCATACTATATTGCTTCTGTGTTGATTGAATAGTTTGGCTGGGGAGGTGCCTTTAATAAGTAGTTCATAGACTAAGGTGATCAGTTGAATCAAAATTTCGAAAACAGATTTAAATCAAACTGGAAGTTGAACCAAAATTGTAGGTCTGGTATAAGACTATTTTGTCAAACTTTTTGTATTTTAGTATAAAAAGCTTCGGTTTTTTGGCAACACATTTCAAATATGATTCATTTGGGAGTTGCTTTACATGTATTTTGCAAACTTGTGACCATTGAAGGAACCCATTCATCATCATGTAAATTGATAAGTTTGGTATCATTTGTTTAGGAACAACTTGACATGCGTCTTCAGCAGCGACAAGCAAGGGAAACAGGGATTTGTCCTGTGAGGAGAGAACTTTACTCACAGTGTTTTGGTGAGTTATCTGACTGTTGGAATAAACTTTACTGAACCTGCATGTATGTGCTGCACATTACAGTACTGTAATTGAGCTCTTAGTATGTAACGTAAAATAACTGAAAAGGCCAAAATGGTCGGTAGTCTTTGAAAAATATGTAATCATGTTACTTAAGTTGGCTGACGTAAAATAAGTTTCCAGCTCTCTCCAGCAGTTATACTTAGATGGTTCAATACTACCACTCTTTGTCAGATGATCTTGTAGTAATGGCATCACAGAAATGCCCAGTCACTGGTACTTTAAACATGTTGTAGTCATCCTTTTTTGTTCAATAGATTACCACTGACAGCAACAATACAACCTGTTAAAAACACCCTTAATTTTAGCGTGAAGTGCTTGTAACTCAAAAATGAGCACAGTGACCAATTTTTTATAAGCATATTAATAAGATGTAACTTTTGCATTTTCTAAATTAAAAAAGGTCTAGGAACGTCAGTCAGTCATTTTGGAGTTGACGGCCTCTGCTGCCTTTGGAAAGCGAAATCCAAAACAAAACATAATTTCATTGAATTCTACATTTTATAACCTTTCTGTTGATATATAGTTTGTGGGAGTTTCTTTGAAAACAGCACGCATACGAATTTTTTTCTGGAGGACTCCCGCGAAGGTTTGAAGTAACCTTTAGTGTAGTTAAAGGGACAAAAGAAAAATGTTATCAAAAAGGAATGATATCTTCACAGTATGAAAGATAAAAATAGTATCTTCACTGTGCACTATGAAGATATGATTTTTTAGTAAAAGGAAAAATCCTGGTATTTCATTGGTGTTTATATAATAGTATTAATTTTATTAATATTAATATCATGATTATTAAATACAGTGTAGAGTAATAACTTATTCATCAATGCAATATAATTATTTCTAATTGGGTTTTAATTGTTACTTTAGAGTGCGTGATGAGATAAGGATGACAATTGCTGCCTATCAAACCCTGTATGAAAGCAGGCAAGTAAAATACAGTATACTTCAGATTTGCCACCAGGTCATTTGGAAATTACCGGTACTGCTAAATATATTATTCTACTTAATGCAAAGCTCAAAATTTATGTGAAGCTCAGTTAATTAGACAAATGTTGTCAGGAAACCATACAGCATTCCATCAAGGTAGAATATGAATATTCGTACCTGGTTTTTATCAAAGCTATAAAAATTAGTCTGAGTAATGTACAAATGCACATGTAAGCCTCATGGACACTTGGAAATGTCATCAGGCTTGAAACATTGAGTGGTGATTGTTGTCTGAACACTTGAATGTTTTTCTACACAGTGTTGCATTTGGTATGAGGAAAGCATTGCAGGCTGAACAAGGGAAAGCAGACATGGAAAGAAAGGTTTGTTCATAGGGTGGCGCTGAAACCGTAAACTCCCAACAACAAGCACTCCACCCCCCCTGAAAATGAGCCCTGCACACCTCAGGTGAAAATATCCCTCTAGAACAATACCTACTGAACCCCACCCAAAGACATGGGCTTACATCAGTTAAGGTTTCGAAAGCACCCTGCATGAAAGTTTGTGCCAACAGCAATGTATTGTAACTCCAGTAGAAGACACAGAACTAGCACAAACTGTTAATGTAATGATTGTGCGATAAGTAAGCTCGTGAAAATGTGGGAGCATTCAGAGAAGTTGTGAAAACAGATGCCAACAGGTTATGTTCCCATGGCATTTCTTGTTCTTCCCAAACTTTTACTCATGTTTCTACAGGTGCATAAGAGTAAGTTAGAACTGTATACATCTAAACAAAGATAGATTTTGCTGTAGAGTAAAACGCTCGTTGAGAGCTTTCAACTAATGTATAAGTGCAAACTTGTAACTGTCATAACAATTAAGAAATAGGAGAAGTTTTCCGTGTTTCATATAGAAACGAGTCTGAAATTAAGGGAGAACGAGAAGTGCTGGAGGGACATAAGCTGCACTTGGGTTTTTCCTCAGCTTTCTCATATTCTCCCAAACTTGCCCAGTCATATTTTGACTGGCAAAATGTTTTAAATTCCCTTTGCTATTGTGATCATGATGGTAACACCTGACACTACACTGTAGTTCTGTGTTTCTACAGTCATAGCAGGTTTTCCTACGGAGTGTTTTCCAGTCAACAATTAGGTTTTCTGTGAGTGAATAGTCAACGAGCTCGAGGCTTAGCCGAGTTGGCTATTCGTTCAGAGAAAACAAGGGCGAGTAGTCTTATTGTTTTAGTAGACACTCCAAAGAATAAAACCTACAATTTCCTGTATTTTAAGCCTAAAATTAAAAATATTCTTCAGTTTCAAGAGCAGCGCGCGCGATCGTTGTCTGTAGCGTGGGCGAATAGAAAACGATGAAAGTTCAACCAATCAGATTCGCGGATTTCCAGTACTGAAAAAACAACTAAGTGGCTTCTAGTGTGTGATAGGAAATGATCATGTACAATTAAGACCGAAGTTGAAAAAAAAAGACATTTAGAGTTGCTAGCAAAATTCTACATGTATTTTGAAATACATGTACATGTAGATGAAATGATGAATGTACAGTTTTGTAACTAACAAACAACCTTCATA